TACTTTGCACAGTTTTGTGTGTGAAATCTGTGTACAACATTTTCACGAACAAATTATGATTTACCCAAAACTTTCGTACTAAAATGTATTTTAAATCAACAAACGTAAGCTGTCCGCCATATTGGAACAGTCAAAGCCAGTCTGTAGCCTAAATCGTATGTATTCATTTTACACAGCTTTTTGTTTTCGTCCTCTGTTTTGTTGACAGACCACCGACTATGTGCCTATGTACAGTGTGTTTTGCCCATTACCATTAAAGACGGTCGGGATGGCTGGAGTCTAGACCATTTGTTCCATTTAAGGTTAAATACTGATAAGATTCATTGGTCTATGAAGCTTGTGTTTGCCAAACTAATGCGAAATAGGCAGTAAACCCCGTCTCATACAGCACTACAGAAAACTACTTGTGAGTTCTTGCTCTCTTTAATGTTGGCTTGTGCACTTTTGATTATGCCAACAGATGCTGTTAATGAGCTTTGTGCACAGCCCAGTAAAGGCCAAAATCTATTGTTCTGCATGTAATTAGCAGGATCATGCCTTTAGTGAATATGTATGACCTTGTGTCCCTAATCCCCACAAAGACATTTCCCATTTCAAAGGCACCAGCTCCTTTAAACAATTTATAATGGAGACTCTCATTGTCACCCTGATCCTCTTTACTCATTCTGCTCTTTTGTTGTTTAGCTAATCACCAGTCACTGCATGAAATCCTTTAAAGCGTGATCTACTAATTAGGATCATCCACTGAATGCTTATCTTTATAAAAATAGTAAATTGTAGAGGCTCTACAGAAAAGTAGATGTTTACATCTTATCTGCAATAGAAGTGAGAAAAGTCATTTCTGTCCTGTCCATGCTTTTCAATAAAAATTCGTACTGAGCTAGCCATTACACTATAATTTTGAATCGAAATACAAATCGAGGGAGTTTGCACACTCTGAATATGGTTGACTTTCATAATGAAGCATGGGCGTAGGTTTGGTCTCAGTTAATGGCGATTTCCTTTGTCATTTCAGACTGCTGGCAATACAGAATATCATAATACAGAAGTGAATCTACTTAATCTCATTATATTGTATCCTGACCCCGATACACCATCCTGTATACTGTCAATAAAGAGCTAGTATAACTGTATAATCTCAAAAATGCACTCTCAAAAAATAAACACCTGAGACTGTGTAATGCTGAACAACCAAACATTTTATTTAACATAAATTATTATTATTTGGAATTTGGATATTATCAATCAAATAATGATTCATTATATTTGAATAACCAACAGTGTTAACTTTTGCCTTTTTAACATTGCCAACATGTTTTTCCAGCACATGTGTCTAGCAAGTAGGCTACACTCACAAATACATTACAATGTAGAAACGAAAAATGTCTCAGATGATCCACTGTTTATGACTGCAAGATTCTAAGTTAAGGTAGGCTAATTAACATTCAGTGACTTGCTAACGTAGCATTCTATCATGATAGCGCGACTTCTATGAGTCTATCCGTGCTGCACACCCCTAATTAATGCTCCTAACCTTGAAAGATTGCAGAAGCTAGGTTTAAAGTAGAACTCCGGCGCAAAATGAACCTTTGGTCTAATTACACATTGTTACCTAGTCAACCGTTATCTGAGATTTGTTTTCATGATTATCGAATGTAAATAGTTTTATCTCTAAAAACAGTTTAGCCTATAAAGCTAGTATAACGCTAGTATATTGGGCATGGAGTAATGACAAATAAAAATCGCTTGTTAATACCACTAACAAGGCTCAAAATAGCCCCACACTAACACGGTAGCATAATGAGGGTCCCTACCTTCAAACCGAAGCATTGAGAACTTTGTCAGTGTCCAGACAGTTTAATAAGAAGATATTTTTTACATAGTCAACTTCGCGTATACAGGCAGAAGCCATCTTTGAAAAAGAGTCTCTACCAGTTGATCTACGAACGCCGATCCAAGTGCGCTGGTAGTTGCAAACGAGCTATAAGTTGTGATAAGGTGAGCGCGAACAGCAGGCTTGGATCGGCGTTCGTAGATCGACTGGTAGAGACTCTTTTTCAAAGATGGCTTCTGCCTGTATACGCGAAGTTGACTGTATGTAAAAAATATCTTCTTATTAAACTGTCTGGACACTGACAAAGTTCTCAATGCTTCGGTTTGAAGGTAGGGACCCTCATTATGCTACCGTGCTAGTGTGGGGCTATTTTGAGCCTTGTTAGTGGTATTAACAAGCGATTTTTATTTGTCATTGATCTATGCCCAATATACTAGCGTTATACTAGCTTTATAGGCTAAACTGTTTTTAGAGATAAAACTATTTACATTCGATAATCATGAAAACAAATCTCAGATAACGGTTGACTAGGTAACAATGTGTAATTAGACCATAGGTTCATTTTGCGCCGGAGTTCTCCTTTAAAGGTGCCATGTGGAATGTGGCACCATACCATACCAAATGGGGGCAGTATACCTCCAGAAAGTTGGCCTACTCTAGTCTGTTTTTTAGTTTCGGGTTGTTAATCTTCTAAAACCGTCAAATCGTCCGCTTTGTCCCGCCAAAGCCTATTTTGATCGGTGAGTGATGTAGAATATAATGACTGCTGCGCTTGACATGGCTTATAACGAGCAGAGAGAGAGAGAGAGCGCCCCGGCCGCGCGCTCGCACTCTCACGTCTTCAAACAACACGAGCGCAGTCCTCCTGCTCTCTCTCTCCCTCGCGCATACTAATCAAATCAATTGACACGATAGTAAGACCGCAGTTCATTTGGAGATTTTTAGAGATTAGAGACTCAATGAACAACATCTCAACACTAAATTATAAAGGCCGGTCTCATTTAGACGCGATTGACATCAGGTTCAAGTACGCATGGCCGACACTGGTATTACGACACCAGTCGGGCCGGCGCTAGTAATTTAGCATGCTAATTTAGGTTTATATCTCGGCAGCACTATAACTTGTCAATTTTTTAATGACATCATTGCACTTATTTCTTCTCATTCTTTTGATGCGTGTAGCTTATTTTTTGGATAATTTTACCTCAATTTTTACATAGGGCACCTTTAACTGTAACAATATCCTGGGTAACCAGGATCACCAGTTAATACTATTTTCCACAGTAGAATCTGCATTTGAAAGCCTGGTCAGTCACTACTACTGCTAGTTATTTGTGTGGCTAGTTATTTTTGCCTAGCACTACTTACACTCTGCTTTATGAAAAAGCTTCGTATGTCCCCTTTCTTCTTCTTGGACATAGCTGATCTACAAAGTACAAAAAGGGGCAAAAAAAAACGGAATATTAAAATGTTTTACTCTGGCCTTTGTATATTGCAGGCAGAGAGACAGCCCTGGTAACTTACCGTTGGCGTCGTCACGCGCACACACACACACACACACGCACACACCACCCGCTCGCTGCCAGTGAGTGCAAGCACAAAAAGTAGTCCCGGCCCGCGCGTGTTGTAACCATGCATTATAAAGCTATTTCCTTTTTTTTGACTCAACTAATTTGAGTTAACCAGCCATAATAATGCAGGATCGTGCTGGGTAGCTCTGCTCGCATTGAAACCTCAAACTTCAAAATCAAGCATAGACAAAACTAAGAGAGACTGATTGCTTAAGTTCTACAAGGAAAACCTTAAAGGTACACTGTGTAACTTTTGATCCTCTAGTGGTTAAAAAGCAAAACTACATGTATTTTGTGGAGGAACATTGTTTTGGTTGTGCTTCGCTTCTGCGTGACTGTGCGGATGAGTATGACCCTTCACAATGGATAATGCTTTACAATGAACTCTGCAATTTATCTGCTCAATAAAATACCTTACTCATCTGCTGAGTAATAAAAACGAAAACGCCATCTCTGCGTCGCTTTTACAACATTTCAAATCCATCAGTTCTTGCCTTCTTCGAAAAGCCAAGCCAATGTTGATTCTTGTTTTATTACAAGCTCCGTCGCGTTCTCTTTTTCCCAGCAGACTCTCCTCTGTTTGTCATTTGTTTAAAAGGGTGATTTTCCCAGTGGTTCAAGACTTCAAGCTCCTTGTCAAGCTTTCTCGCTTGTTGTGACAACTAACCTACGCCATTCCCAGCAACTTTTATCTATCTACAGATATGACGAGACAGTCATGCACGGACCAGTGACGTACGTATGGATTTTCACATGAAAACCATCCCGCTAGGTCTAAAATATAAAAACTTATAATAGGCTTACCATAGTGAATCAGGGTAAGGCAAAATCACGTTTTGGAAGAATAATTGATGTTGTATTTACTAATTTTTAAAATGTTGTTTATTTTGAACAAAAAAAAAAAGTTTGAAATAAGTGTACTTTTTAAAAGCAGTTTTAAATACATATAGGGGAAAGCATATGTCCTTAGGTTCTATAACTGGGGGTCACCATCTTATCACAATTTTAAATCAGTCTTTTGCATTCATGCAAAGTGTGATATGATTTTTTAAATGTAAAGTATTCATGTCTCAATTCATATAAAGTTATAAAAACAAGATGAATATAGACCCAAATAAATTAAAATCTTTTGCTAATAGCGTTACTTCATATTTTCAGCCATAAGAAACCAGATTTAAACACTCCTTGGCAATGAACTCCTGTGTTCAAACTTGTCTAATAAGCTGTGATCCTGTTTTATGAATTAGCCAGTTTGAATTAACTTTTTGTTTGATTGAAACTGAGAAAGAATGTTTGTTTTTAGGGAGCATGGTGGAATTGAGGGCTGCCAGGAAAATACAACATTCCTTGTACATGTTTATAAGGGTTTACCTAGAAAATAAAAATATGTATACTTGTCAGTGCCATCCAACCTCACTGTAATCAAATTTTGGGATTTTGTTCCCCATAGAGTTGAAAATGAATCCATCTTTAACCCCTCCTCTTTTACCCGTCCATTTCCCCCATTTCTCTGGCTGCCCTCCCTGCCGTCCCGCCTCTCAGTGTGGGGGTGATGGTGCTATGCAGGGTCAGATAACACTGTGGACACGGGAACATTCGGTTAGCATTAACCCTCCATGGGAAACTGCGGGGGTTCAGCTTCTGTCCTCAGAACAACAGAGATGTAACTTCAGGTGGATTTCTTAAGGAGTTTATGCTATACCAAAGAAACAAGAAGCACTGGCTTGACAGACATCAGCTTTTCCCCTCACGCCGAAGCAGTGCTGTCCAGAGCAGGAGTCACTCTCCGTCTGGAGGGAGTTTCCACGTGTGCGCATGTGCTTTTGTGTGAGTCATTTTGTCTCTTAAGTGTGTGTCTTTCTATGAGAGCTGATGTTGAGATCAGACAGACTGGATTCTTCTTCCTTTTCAAAGCATTGTAGATTAAAGCTTTTTCCCAAAGGTAAGGGAAAGGTGTTTTTGTCTGTGTTTTTCAGCCTTGCCTTTGTAGCCTCTAACTGGATTAACAGAAGAAAAAAAAAACAGGCTGCAGGTGTAGGCTTAGTGGCAGACTGGTGCTGTTGGTTCACTTTAGCTTATTGCTGTCTGAATCATTGACTGTTCATTGAAACTTCATATGCCTTCAGTTCTTTTTAAACTGAAGACTCCTGCTCAGGACAGGTCTGTGATTTATTGAACTGTAGTCAGTCAGTGTGTTGCACAGATTGATTTGTCTACAGTACGTCAGAAAGATTTAGGAGATGGGTGGACTGGTGATGATCAAAGACTGTCAATATTTCTGTTATGATGTTGAAATATCTTATCAGTTAACATTTGACAGGGATGTCTTGAGTACAGAGACATAAAATGTGCATTGAGACTTTGCTAGGGCATTAAATCTACACTGAGAGTAGGATAAACCGATTCAGAAGAATCTGATTGATCTATCATTCGCTTGTTTAGGCCATAATGTAAAATAAAGCTCAACAGTATTATACCTGCTAAAAACATTGGATCTAAACATGTGACTCCTTTTCATGTTTCACTACATGTTTTCGGTGAAGGTTACATTTAGTCTTAATTTAATCCCTTTTTAAATTTTCTTTTCAATATGTATCTTTCATTTAGTCTTCCATTTATTGCAGAAAATTAACATGAGCAAATGAAGTCAGATATGCAAGTGCTGTACAAAAGTGACTGTCTGATAATGATGGAAGTGTTTATGTTTCTATACACAGTTCGTTCAACTTCTCTGATCTTTCTTAAAGCTTGTAGAGCGGTGAACCTGTATAGTCAAGTCAAGTCAACTTCATTTATATAGCGCTTTTAACAATGAATTGTTTCAAAGCAGCTTTACAGAGATAAACATATAATTTAAGGTAACAGATTGTTTTGGCGTTATAGCGGTTCTTAAATAATGTTACTTCCAGCTAAAGTTAACTTTGATTGATTCACCTCCGTCGAAATGATCAGACTTTAAACGCGAACCTGTGATTAACACTGAAGGCGTTCACATGCTCATTCAGAATTCTATAGTTATGTGCTTTTTAAAATATGTGCGCAGGTTTGTAATTCATACAACCCAGCCTAAACAAACTACTTTTCTTGCCTATAAATTTTGATACAGAATTTTGTTTTATTTTATCACTTCGGGGTACGCGAGCCGGAATTCACAGCGCTTTATCTGTATATATGATATATTACTCCTAAGGGTGTAACGATTCACTTGTTTTCTCCATGCATTGATCCCAAATTCTGCCAGTGCAAATGCATCGATCTTGAACATGGATTATTTGAATCGTGACTCATTTTTTTTAGTCAAGAATAATAGTTTGTCTTTTTCCTTTTCTTACTATGAGACACATTAGAACAAGCATTTACATAATACTGTGAATTCAATAAACAAAATCAAGTTGAATCATTAATCAAAATCAAATCGAATTGAATCGGTGTGAATTCATCAAATCATTCCTTAATTAAATAAAAAACGTTGAGTTAAGTACTACTTCAGAATATGACTCCCAACTAGGGCTGCACGATTAATCGCAAAACAAATCGCAAAAATCAAACCTTTCATTGAAGTAAACCACATTATGAAATAAATGTTTTTCTCCAATTCATGTTGGCCACAATTATTGACACACCTTAATTTTGTACGAGTAAAATATCTCTGAAGTATATTCCCATTAATATTTACATTTTTTTAGCACACCAGGGTGACTAGGAACATGAAATTGTCTAGCTATGACTTATTGTTTCACAGGAGTTTAAATATGAGGAGTATAAATATGATCACAGATGGAGAATTTCAGAGATTAGTTGAGTCTTGGGGTCAGAAAGCCTAAAAAATATATATATCAAGCAACCCCTACATCACCACATATTGTTTGGGAGGGATTAAAAAAAAAATCCTCCTCGCTCCTCCAAAAACAAACTCCTGCATATTCAGTTGTCAGACACGACTGGAACTTCAAAAGGGACCGGATTCTGTGGTCAGATGAAACAAAACAATAACTTTTTGGCAGCAAACGCACTGAATGGTTTTGGTGCAAACAGGGATAAAAAGTACCCCATGCCTACGGTTACATATACTGCTGGATCTTATATGTTGTGGGCCTATTTTTTTGCTGGAGGTCCTGGACATCTTGTTCAGATAAATGGTATTATGGATTTTTGCAAATACCAACACCTGACTGCCTCTGCTAGAAATTTTATAATGGGCCGTGGTTAGATCTTTCATCAGGGCAACGGCCCAAAACAAAAATCAAAATCAACACAAAAATTTGTCACTGAGCACAAAATGAAGCTTCTGCCATGACCGTCCCAGTTCCCTGACCTGAACCCTATAGAAAATAAGTGGTCTGAACTGAAGAGAAGAAGCACCAACATGGATCTGTGAATCTGAAGGATCTGGAGAGATTCTGTATGGAGGAATGGTCTCTGATCTCTTGTCAGATGTTCTCCAAACTCATCAGGCATTATAGAAGAAAACTCAGAGCTGTTATCTTGGGATAAGGAGATTGCAAAAAGTATTTAGGCTAATAAAAGGGTGCCAAGAATTATGTTCAACATATTTTGGAGAAAAACATTTATTTCACATTGATTTACCCCCACTTTCAATTCTTTTACTTCAATGAAAGGTTAGATTTGAGCAAATTTTTTGAATGACAGATCAAAAGGATAAACAATGCAGATTTATTTTTACAGCCATCTTTGATCATATTTGCCAGGTATGCCAATAATTCTGACCACAACTGTATTTTTTATGCGCAGCTTGTCAGTGACGTACAGCTCTGTAAACGCTGCTCCATCTGAAAGCACTGCGAGTTTGAGTCACTTATAACGTGCATTTGAAAAAGCAACATGTGTCAAACATGTTTCCAAACATGAGAAGCATTTATGAACCTATTGTCCAACAAAAGACAACATTTAATAACTTGTTAGTTTTTACACTAAACTCACTTCATAATGTCAGTTGGGTGTTTGAAAACATCCTTTTATGAGCTGATGTGGCTTCTTACACAGATTAAGGCACACAACATTATTATTTTATAGTATTCTATACAGTGATAAAGGCTATGTCGATTAGCATTGAGCTTTACTTTATTATCATGAAAATACCCAAGAAGGCTTAAAGAACTCAGATAAACCAGATATTGTTGTAGTCGTGTGTTTATTAGTCATGTTTAATCAATCAAAGCATTTCAATCTTCTTTTTATTCAGCTACAGCAATAGCATGATGCCCATAGGGATTTCCTAGAACGACGAGCGTTTATCGTACTTATGCAAGGGATATTTGGGATTTCTGCGCAAGAGCGCCCTCTGGCTTTCAGATGGAGCAGCATTTACTACTGATCACAGAGCCGTGCTTCACTGACAAGCATTAAAAAAATGCAGCCTTTGCCAGACCGCGTGCGGTTTAACTTCGATTCATCATGCAGCCCTACCCCTAACCCACCCTGTTCTGCCCCTCTAAGGACAAAAGTGAAATGCTACGCCTACATCTGAACACTGTTGTCAGCTGCTGCTGTCAAGTCTCGGGACGGTAACATGATGAGGGAGAAAGTGATCTGGGGGCTGCATGTCTAATAATAAAGAGTTCTCTTATGTAACAGCAGAACATAAGAGAACTATGACAGATAAAGTGTAGGCTCTTTTGCTTCTGTTATGTTCTGCACGCTAGTTATGTGCCTTTTGCATGGCCACGCTTTTGGTGTCAACTTGACATTAGAGATTGTTCCATCAACTGTGTGTTCTCACATGAACCTTTTGGCATGTGAAAGGTCTTTAAATGCCGCCTTAACTTTTTTCACATTTTTCATTAATGATTGTAAGCCACATTGTCACTGAAATACTGTTATTTACATGTCTCCTTAGCGTTTCTGCTTGAGTTTCTGCCAGCTTTAACCACCAAATTGTAAAAGCAACAATTTAAATTGTAGTTAAGGAAAATTATCATTTTAACTTTAGCATTGCACTGCGACAGGCTCATTTGTCAGACTAAAGCCTCTGTGTGAAAAAGCAATGAGCATATTCCTTCCTGCGCGTGTTGTAGTAGACACTCTAATTGGCATTGATGTTAAGCAGTGAATTGGGAGGTAAAAGAGGGGAGTTTTAGGCAAAGACAGATGTTCAAATAATTCTGGCCTTAGATCTGGATCTATAGCTTTCTTCCAGTAAGCTTCAGCAATCACAATATCATAATATAAGCCTTTCTCAGGCTTTTTTTAAATCAAAGTTCCTATGACGTTTAAGCCTTGTTTCAGCTAGATGTTGTAAAGAACCAAATAAAAAAAAATGACACCAAAAACATTGTATATTTTAGCTTATGTGCAAAATGATACCACAGCGCGATTGCCTTTACCCCCTTGAGCAACAACACCACCAACATTTTCTGGTAATGGGGGATCAGTCCTGTCTAGGAAGAGCATTGGAGAAATTTTGGCCCATTTCTCCATAACAGTTCTTCCACTTAGTGACTTTTGTTGGGTTTTCCAACATTTCTGTGTGTGAATGAACTGCTATCTTTAGATCTTTCCACAACACTTCTAATGGGTTACACTCAAGTCTAGCCAAGCTAAAACATTTTTTGTGCTTTAAACATGGTAGACCTTATATGTTTAGGGCCATTGTCTTGCTGCAGTGTCAGTGTTTTAAGTGTCAGTTCCCAGACTGACAGCTTTATATTGTCCTGTAGACTTTTTCAGTTTTACTCTGGTTCAAATCATTTTACTTCCACCACTGTGCTTTACAGTTGGAATTAGGCTCCTATTATTGTACGCAGTATGTGGTTTTCTCCAAATGTAACACTTCTTATTTAAAACCAAGAAGTTCTCTGGACCCATGAGACCACAGGACGTTCTTCTTACAGTCCTCGGCCTCATCCACATGTTCCTTGGCAAACTTTAGATGGGCTAAAAGTTCTTTTTAGAGAGCAGTGGTTTCTTCTTGCAATCCTGCCATATACTGTAAAATGTGTTTTGTTGACTACCTAAAAAACGGAGAAAAACTTCACAAATGAAAACAAAGTTTTGTTATAGTTAATTGGATTCTCTTCGCAATGTATAGGTTAAACTGAAATGCTTTCACAACTTTCTACAACCACGGAGTTACATGAATTCATCTGTGTGTTATATTCATTAGTGAATGTTATAGTATAGCATGACTTCTAGGTTCAATCGTTAGCTTTGATTTGTCAGTGAATAAATTGAACAAACAGAAAACAGACCGAAAGTATGGGGTCGGTAAGATTTTCTAATGTGTTTCAAAGAAGTCTCTTATGCCCTGCAAGACTGCACTTATTTGATCAAAAATACAGTAAAAACAGTATTATTTGGAAATTATGAAAATGATTTGGTGATTAAGAAACATTTCTTATTATCACAGTTTAAAACGGCTGTGCTGCTTAATATTTTTGTGTAAACCTAATGTTTTTTTATATATTTTTTTTTATTCTTTGATAAATAAAGTAAAACAATTCAATTGAAATTGAATTTTTTGTAACCGTGACCTTTGGTCAGTATAATGCGTCCTTAAAAAAAATTATTGTTGAATAAATGGTTGAATAAAATTAACTACTGTAACCCCCAGCTCTCTCTGGAAATTTCTATAGTGATCTCTGAAATTCACTTGATTCCTGATCTCTCCTTCCGCTAATGAGGATTTAACCTCTCTTAATAACTGTTACGACATCTCTTGGCTTGTATACATGTGTTCTTAGAAATGTGTAGGACACTGTTTTCTTAAAGGGATTGTTCACCCAAAAATGAAAAATCTGTTACTCAACCCTGCGTCGGAGGGTGTATTGTTTCAACTTTTAGTAAGATTTTCCCATCCACTAACCCAGCGGCTGGGTAACACAAAAACTACCCAACAGGCTCAACCCAACATTTGGACAGAAAAAATAACCCAGTGGTTTTTTTTTTTTAGAGTGTAGGGATGTGTAGCCTGTGTTAGTGTGGTCCTGTGGATAGTAGGCCTACTGAGAGCATGTTCTGACCACAGCTTTATTTGGTATCTAGCTCAAAGCTTTTTTAGCAGTGTAGCCAAAAAAAGGTTGCTGGAACTTGTGTGTCAAAAAATAAATAGTAAATGAAGTCAACTTTTTTTCTTCTTCAAAACCAAAACTGTTACCAACTGTCAGGGCAAGATGTGGACAGCTCAGGGAGAAAAAGTTTAAAGAGGATATGGAAATGCCAGTGAGTCTTCAGATATAATTAGGCTGTTTAATCAAAGGTTTTCCAGGGTTACATATTGAATTTTAACATGTCAACCACATTTCCTGAGATGGTAGAAATGGTGGACCATTCTATTGATATTTTTTCTGTACTGTGAATGTTTTTCACCTTTTAAAACTAATGTATTCTAAGACCAGTATGTTTTTTTCCCCCACAGATAACCAAGGACAGAATGGCGACTGTGCAGACATCAAGGCCATAAGAGGCCTAACTGCCTTGGTAAGTCTGTTTACTACGGCATATCACTGCAAATCCTATGGCTTGCTTACTTTACTGAAAAATCTCAGTAACTTGTTGCAGACTTGTATCACTTAAAATTCACAAACAAACACTATAGGCCAGATTTACTAAACAGGGCAAATTAGCATTAGAGCGCAATTCCAAAACAGCGCTGATGGGAGTGGAACGTTCTGCACGTGATCTACTGATGACTCGCAAATTAAAGAACACAGACACAGTCAGATCGTTTCCATAATGACCAACGCAATCTACCAGGTAGTGTCTGGTTTAAGACGTGCTTTTTTTGGGCGGTAAATACTGGCGCAAACACCAGTAAATTGACGAGCGCAAACCTTAGTAAATAACCTTGCATGATTCATTTAAATACTCTACTCCCATATATTTTGCGCCTGAAAGGGAAACTCCTACAAATGCATATGCAATAAGGTCAGCCACAAAAATAACTGTCTCTACGCCTTTTCAGTGCTAATTTTTCAATGCGTGTCTTTAGTAGATCCTGACAGTAGTTTTTTAATGCCAAAAGAGGGTTTGAGCTGTTAGTAAATCTGTCCCTAGAACTCAATCAGAATCTCAAAACACACAGTAGTCATAATCCATAACAGCAATATTTAAGAGACTTAGCATAGCTTTGTGTTACTGACAGAATCTTTCTCTTGCTCTTCTAGATCCAGGATGGGAAACTCTGAGAGCCAGTATAGCATCCAGGGCTCTAGAAACAATAGCTTCATCATCCCTGGCAGACAGAAACCCTACTCATTCAAGGTGCACTCTGCCAAAGAAGACGCTGTATCACCTCTTGGCTTTTGGAGTGCTGGTTCAGGAATTTCTGCATTGAAGTCCAGAAATGTAGATTGTGGTTCCTCCCCGTCGAAGAGCAGCCACACCTTTATGTCCCGCCATTATGATTACATCACACATAAACTAAAGAGTGGTGCAAATAGTCAGTGGAATGGGGTTTCAGAGGACTTGTTGCCTGATGGCTGCTTGACATTGCCTTCTAAAAATGGCTGCTTGAATGGCGGTCACAAGGAGAAGACAAAACCCGGTAATAATTATGCTATTAACACAATGAAGATGCTTGAGAAAAGTCCCAGGTTTGAGGATATTGAGGACCAGAGCAGCCCCAGGGTTGTTATAAAGAAAGATGGTAGTGTACGAGTAGAATTCAACAGCAGTTCAAACAATGCCCTTACTTTGGATGATTGCGCTGGACCAGTTCAGCTCCTCAAGTTTTCCCCTACATTAGAGTCCAGTTCTAGCTTATCTGGTGTAAGTCCCTCATTAGACGCCCATCTTGGAGCTGCTCAGGCTGTTTCCAGCTTCAAGAGCAGTAAAGGTAGCTCTCTGAGCTCAGATGGCTCCTTGTACGACTTGCCTTGGGGGACCAGTGTCGAACTTAACGATTCAGACAGTGCATCCCCTAACAGCCAAAGACAGATCATTTCATCAAACGTGGGGTTTTTGGATGAGCCGTTGGCTGCCAATACTACAACCATCCTCTACAGGGATCCCAGAATTGCTGCCACCTTCTCTACGGTTAAGGATTTGCAGTTTATAAATGACAGCCATTTAAAGCACAGATCCTCCTTTGTGTCTGTGATGGAGGAACACTGTTCGGAAGGAGACTCAGAGGAAAAGCAATATTCCTCCTTCACCTTACCTTGTCGTAAACCTAAGCCTTTTCTAGACAATAATGGAAAGAAAGTGTCCATCAGGAACAGATTTAGGCGCATCAGTGACTGGACTGGAAGTTTGACCAGTAAAAAGAAGTTTCAGGTAAGGACAATCCTTTTATTCCATTTTCTTTTAAACATGCTAATTTTGAACCTCTCATTTTCTGGTAGTAGGGCTGTTTTTGTGAATATATCTTTGTTTTAATTTTATTTTATTTAGTAAAGTGAATGATGTTATAAGATTTAAATCCAATGCCAGCCTCTGTCTGCAGTTCTAGTCAATGGAGTCAAACAACCATTACTATTGCTTACTCTCAGGGTGAGGGGTTGCGTCTCTCCTTAAAATTTTTGTTGTGGCTAGGTGAAAATCGCAAATAAGATTGTTTGTACTACAACTCCTCAACAAGCCACACAATTTCAGGAATCATTCATGTCACGTCATTCACTTCAGCACAAACGTCAAAAGTGACCACATGTGAACATGAAGCAGTGGCGAAGACACATAAAATTGTGGCCCACCCAATCAAAAGTTGGTAATTTTCCAAATATATGAAATAATTGAATAAACAAAAATAATTGTAATAAATGTCTTATTACACTATAAATTTATTTATTTTGTTAAAATAATAATTAAATGCAAGTTTTCATGGTCGATTTTAGGTTCGATTAATTAGTTTCCTATATCCCTATATAGGTGGACGCTTGTCAAAATGAAACATTAAATATGATTCGTCAGTTTCTGTTAGTCCCGTTAGTTACACAATTCTAAACATTATTTCATATAATGACAAACTTAGGATAGAACTTAATTAGGAAGAGCCATTTTATTGTGTCTTGCACTGTAAAATATGATAGCCTAATAATTAGTAAGTCATGGCAACATATGATTTTACATTACTTTAACTCATAAAATAATTTAAGTCATACGAGATTCAACTTGATTTTTTTAAGTCAGTTTTAATATATTTTAAGTTGAAATTACTTGTACAGCCAATTTGATTATAATTCATTTAAGGCAGCAAAAGAAAGTTTTTAAGTTGAAATAAGTGAAACATTTTTATAGTGTAGTTTTTATAGGTTGTTGTTGTTGTTTGCTGTTTTGAAACTTGTTGGTAATTTGCAGTGCAGGGTTCATATTCTAGCCTACGCTTTGCCCACGCTGTTTTATGAAGGCCCAGTCCCTTGAACATTACTGGCCTCGCCCCTGACATAAGGTGTGCCATTTGGGACAGGGCCAATGTCTAGTTTACATTTTGACTTATTTAACCTGCCCAGTATAGCGGTGAGCAGTGAGGTAACAGGGAGAAAGATGCTTTTAGCCAATCATAACTGTGGGTGCTTACTTGTGGGCTCATTTGACTCAATCCCATAAGAGCCACCTAGAAGATCTGACACATTTTCTTATATCACCACTTACACGGGTATTAAAGTTCTCTGTCACTAAGATGGATTTGTGTCATTTGGAGAGGACAGTGTGTTATAGTGAACAAATCAGTGTTTTTGAACTAATATTTTTAAGTGAATGAATCACTCATGTTTACTTTCATACACACTCACATTTCTTGTTCACTGAAGACTCTCTTCTTTGAAGCTCTATTTTGAGGCATGTAACTTCTTTGGTGGCTTTTCCTGCCTGTAAAGACAGATCACGGTGCCAGTAGTTTGCTAGTGAAGGTGTATTTCATTGGGTTGGACCTACTGAACGGATATGTCCAGTTTCAATAAACCAGTCTCTGAAAAAGTCAGCGTTTACTCTGTTAGTGAATGAAATAAGAGTCAGACATCTTGTTCATGAACGTAGATCAATCAATCAATCAATCAATCATGTCGTTCTTGTTCACAACAAAAACAGAATGAATACATTTTAATGTAATGTGTAAATTCTTAATGTGTAAATTTAATATGACACAATATATTACAATACCATTGACAAGTGTATTTTATACTATTATTGTCTTGTTGTATAGCTTTATCAAAGCCATGCTCAGCAGTTTAAACAATGGAGGAAATAGATCCATTTTTGTTGTCATTTATGAGGAATACGCTTTGTAACACCTGAAGGACTCTCTGGACAGTCAGACCAGTGCTGCATCGTCACGAAAGTTTATCATGCTTGTGCCTTTAAGTCTTGCCAATTTAATCATTCAAGCGATTTTGAACCATTCAAACACAAGAAGTCTTGAAAGAGAACTAAATTGTGTTCTTAAACCACTGACCTGACCGAGCCAGTAGACAAAAAAAAATCCTTAGCTTTGAGCCCTGATAGATTTATAGACGTGCACACATTTTTAATAAAGTGTTGCATTTTAGTACAGATCAATGCAACGACTCACTCACAACACATAAAAGACGCTTATTTGTTGCCACGTACTAGTGTAAACATATAATATCAGTAAACGAATCTGAACTAATTGTTTTGGTTTCAAAAGGACAAAAAATATTAGTTTCATTGTATAGATTTAAACTACTTTCGAAATCGATCAAACTGACTATAGAAAGGGTGAACTGAAAAAAATTCTAAAACATTGTCCCTTAAAATGCTGTTGGTCTTGAGTCCCTAAAGAAATGTAAAAAAGTTTTTCAAAGTCAGAAGATTTTTTTTTTATTTTTATCCCTGCTCACATTTTGTTATTTTTTCACAAATTATAGTTTTTATGCGTGTATTACCGTGTTTTAGCCACATGGGTTATAGTCTTGACTGTTACTTGTGCCAGGTGCCACTGCGGGCATTGTTGTTTTGCCAGGAGCACATGTAGGGCACAATATTGAAAGCTGCAACATGCCAGTTCAATGAGACCGCAAACCCAAGTTTAGGTTTAGTGCTCTGAAGATGATGGGTATTCATCGCAAGCAGTGCTTGCCGTTTGGTGAGTTTCTGCTTATGGTGTTGAAGAAAGCAAGGAGTCAATTATTTGAAGATTGAATGGGAGAAAGACCAAAACCATGAGTACCTCATTTCATAAAATAAATGTTACATTTACTTTGTAACATGTAGGCCTAGTTTATAGGCGATATTAATTCTGATTAGATCTTATATGCATTTTATTGGCTGAATGTGTATGTAAAAAGTATTTTTCATTCTGCCTTGCTATAATACTTATAGCCATCATTTTATTTTTGTAATCTTATATGTTTGGGGGTTTTTACCATCAGTAGTGAGATATTCCTGTTCTGTGGCTTTTATGATGCGTTTGATGAGTAAGAGTAGAATAGCTCTTTGATATTTTCTGTGGAGTCTGTGTCTGTAGAAGGTTTTTTTTTTTTTTTTTTTTTACAAACAGCCATTACTCTGGTATTACTCACTTCAGACTTGTAATATGATATGATACAGTCTAGTTCTAATCAGTCTTTAATCAGTCATTCAAAGCGACTGCATTTTCTTCTGCTCTTATCATAAGAAAGCAGTGAATTATTTTTTTTAACTAAAGGCATTTTAAGCTTAGTAATCTTGTCTTAAACAGATATACAGCTATGAAAATTGGTTATAAAGTCATTTTAGCAACTTAGTACGGATTAGCTGCTGAGTAGTCAAGACCTTATTCAGAGCGCCGCCATGACAGGTATGAGAGCGAGTCTGTGAGGGATAGACTTACCGTGTTTTTAATGGCATCTAATGTAAAAAGCTGTATAAAGCTCCTAGATCACTTTCAATTTTCCACAACTCATATTGTCTGGGTGATTTTTGTCTACTGAAATTCCTTGGAAATATATTTTTGCTGCATTTCATCAGCAGAACAATCCTAAATCACTATAAATAATAATACATACCACGGAAGAGATGTGTGACTATCCCTCACAGCCTCGCTTTCAAAGATGCCGCTCCTGTGAATAAGATCTATTGTCAATGACAAATTTCATGCCATCTTTGTAATAAATTATAATGCAGATTTTTGAGTGACCATAGAGTGACCTGGAATGTGTGCTGAATAAAGATTTGGCTCTGGACAACTTTAGTAAAAATAAAAATGTTGCTGATATCGAGATAATCATAACCGTAACTATGTAAAGCAATTTTAAAATGTATTATTATGAACCAGTCTAAACACTTCAGCCAAGAAACACTCTGTCATTTTTACAATTTGACAAAATGGTCAAAGACCATTTGGCAGAACTCAAATCTGCCAGACTGCCTGGTAAGATCATCGCCCTCTGGATCACTGGACAGCTTCAATATAGATACATAATCTGTGGTATGTCATGTCAACTTGTTCATTTATTTAACTTTAGGAATTCATGTTAAACAATATTTTAAAAATAAGTTTCCATTCCATCGTATTACGTGTTTAGTCTATAAGTATGGGCGTTTTAATATGTGTGCAGGCGCATAGTCTTTTACAAATTGACCTCACCAAATGACTTGTCTGTCCTTAAAACTTCATAATGTTATTCATAAAGCCACTTGAATGCCAGAGCTCAGCTGTAGTGTAAAGTTTTACGCAGTGTTGTTGGCACGTCTGAACCCTTGTGTAATTAGTGTCAGCTCCTGGAGATGTGTTGAATTTGAAGGATGCTCGAGAAGGATCCTACCCAGATTTCTTTTCATGATGATCTTATTAGTGGGATTTTCAAATGACACCCTTTTAAACAATATATCTACTATGATGGAGGAATGGGCTTTCATTGTTCATAAATTTGTGTAACATGAAAATCTGCGCTTGAGCTTACTCTCATATACTGGCCATAACTGACTATTCTGTTATTCTGGGGGGTTTTTTTGTTCTTTTTTTGGTTGTTGCTTAGTTTTTACTATTGCTGTTTTACAGTACCTTGGGTCACACTTTCAGTAGCCTTAACTGCTATGTACTACAAAATTCCCACATTTACTGATAATGAGTTTGAGGTATGGTTGAGTTAAGGAGTAAGGGTAGGATTAGGTATTATTTAGGTTTTGGGGTAAAAGTTTGGCTTACGGTTAGGGCTAAACTTCAAATTGGTAATTAAATGCAACTACTTTAAATTTAATTACAATGCACCAACATTTATGCACATACATAAGTAAACGGTATCAAATGGTTAAGTGCACAGTAGTTATGTAGTAGTTAGGCCACCTAATATAAAGTGTGGCCTTATCTTATTGTTTCTCATAATTGTTGCCAGCTACATGAATGATATTGAGGTAATTTGTGTTTCTATGGTTTTCTGCTTAAAAACCACTCTGAACATTAAGAAATGAATAGCAACTCTATTAAAATGCTGTGGCAAAACATTTGCATAAACATTTAAACCACTCATATTTTCTTTAGAATATTGAAGGAAAAAAAATGGTCTGAAATGACCAGATTTCAAAATCAATGATGTGCTATGTACAAGTTTAAGTTCATTAATTGTTTTAAAAGCTGATAATTTGATAAAGTAAACAGGATTTCAGCTCACATTTCAGCATAAATATAACCTCATTCTCATAATACTTCCCCTTTACTGTTTGTTGTAGGATTCCAGGTATAGCGAGTCCGTGGATTGCTTTGATAGTGGTGTGGATGTCCTCACTGCAGATACCAGCTCTCCCTCTCAGGTCTCCAGCTTTAAGACTCTCCCCAACGGCATGTCTCAAACCCGCTCTCACTCTCTGACACTGAACACCTGCAGCGGCTCTGCTGGTGCCCTTCACTCTGGGACTGATGTTTTGCGGCAGAACATCTACAAGAACTTCATGAGGGAGTTGAAGACTGGTCGGCCTCCAGAAGACTGGTGTGAGAGCTCCTCTGAGGAGATCGAGAGCAGTAGTCAGGAAATCCTAGGGTCTCTAGAGCAGCTGGACTTGCTGTTTGAGAAAGAACAAGGTGTAGTTAGGCGGGCCGGATGGCTCTCCTTCAAGCCCTTGCTCACTGTACACAAGGACCACAAACTAGAGCTAGTGGGCCGTCGAAAATGGAAGCAATTCTGGGTCACTCTAAAGGGTAAGTATGCCATGATTGCTGTAACTACCACTATGATAAAGAAACTGCTTGAACTGATTGATCATGGCAAGGTTTTTTTCTGCAGGTTGCACATTGCTGTTCTATGAGACCTATGGAAAAGCCTCTTCAGAACCAGAGTCTCCATGCTATGCCTTGTTAGCAGAGGACGGTGTAGTCCAGACTGTTCCTGAGCACCCCAAGAAAGAGAATGTGTTCTGCCTCAGTAACACCTATGGTGATGTCTACCTTTTTCAGGTCAGTTAAAAACCTGAGCTTACAGACCTATGTTCATTTCACACTGGACTGGTTAGCAGATTAGAAGCAGTGCAGAAGCTGCGTGTTTGCAGAGTGGAAGCAATGTGCCGCAATTGTGTTTTACACTAGCAGTGTTTCTAGAGTGCAACTGGAGCTGAAGGTGTAGTCCTCTTATCACAGCATATGTCCCTGTCTCCCACACACTCAACCCATATAACCATGTTAAACCATATGACATGCTGTGCATGGCAATTTATATGATAAAAATACTTTGAGTTTAAATTGTTTTAGCATGCTCTTTGTGTTTGCAACTCAACCGGGAATAGTGTGTTTTAGTTTTGTTTGATGTTACTAACTGAAGTGAGAGTAGATTCCAGTATAGTGTGTCAGGCCATTATGTCGCTGAGTAACAGCCACTTGCTTGTTGTTTTAAGAATGACTGATTTTTGATGTCTAGTTAGCCAGACAAACTCTTGCTTTTCCAAATGCTGATTAGTGCAGTGTGCAAATAAAAAAGCTACACACACATTACCTGTCAGTAATGTTTCTGGTGGAATAAATACCTTATGATATGAAATACCTTATTATCATAATTTCTATGTATAAAATGTAAAGTTTCCTTTCTTGTATGTTTGTTTGTTTCTCACTCTAGGCCTCCAACCAAACTGACCTGGAGAACTGGGTAACTGCCATTCATTCGGCTAGTGCGTCTTTGTTTGCGAAACGCTACGGGAAGGAGGACACACTGCGTTTGTTACGTGGGCAGATCCGTGGTCTTCTCCAGAAGATCGACATGGATGGCAAGATGAGGAAAATGGCGGAGCTGCAGTTGTCCATCGTTGGTGACCCCAAAAATAGAAAGGCTATTGAAAACCAGGTAAGAACCAATCAAGTTAATTTGGTGTAACACCGTTATGTAGTCCTTTTTGGTTTCAGCTATGCTTGATATAATAAGTGAGATATGTTGAACAAGGAAAAAAAAAAGTGCACACATTTCTTAAAGACAACTAAGGTACACATGTGAAGATTTGAAGTTTAGTGCTTTTACCAAGTCATTATGTTTGAGGCTTTGTGGTGAGATGTGTATGTGTTGACAAGGTTAAGAATTTACTAAGTTCCCCATTTTGACTGAAACATTGGGATTAATCATTGAGAGCTTAGTCATGTTAACAGAAGGCATGTTAATCTTACTGCCACATACCGCTTTAGAGGTTGCATGACCCACATAGCTTTAGTTGACCAATGGTATTAGTAGTTTTCTCCCACTGCCTGATAACAATCAAGGTAATGCTTCATGGGAACCTCTGAAGTTGATGCAAAGGTCAAAGGGGGAGTCAAAGGGGTGCCAGGCTGGATGAGGGATTTGGAGAAGGGGAAGAGGTTAGAATGGCCTGAGAAACTTGACTACTTTGAAGTCTTGTCTGTCTCCACAAGTCAGTGCCAGCTGGGCAGTTTAAAGTCTCCACTGACCTCCCCTCACCCTTCCTCCCAAACTCAAGTCTTGCTCATGTCTTGCATCCACTGCATCGTAACTAAACATATGCATTTTATATGAATCAGGGAAAAGGTCAGATTAACAAATGAAGGAGAAATCTGTAGAACTACACATTTAGAACTGCAATCAGAAATGTTGCCCATCCAGAAGTAGTAAGCATTGCTTTATTTCAAATACATATACCTCCGAAGGCAAAAAGAAATTTGGCCAGACTCATGCATAATCTAGTTTACTTATTAAGTGTGTCAAACTCAGCATCTTTCAGAAATTCAGTGACACGAAGCATTGAATGACAATGTAAAAAATCATAAAAAGTATCAATCTTCCTTATAAGCTCATTATCATCCTGGTACCTCTTAATTGCAATTTTGTTTCAAGTCTCAGAAGTTGTCACTGACTTTATGTCAGTGAGTATATGTACACATTTGATGTTTGTGTGTCCTAATGGCCTGGTGGGAACATTTCTGGTAAGCGTGCCAGAGTTTCTGGGTTCTAATCTGCCTTTCGTATAGGTTTTTTTTTTTCTTAAACCAAAAATGTTCATCAGTGATTGTATATCAAGAGCATGGACACATTTGTGTGCATCTTGTTTTGTGATTTCACTGTAACAAATAGAGAGACTCTGCTCCCCACAACAGCGTTAGATTGAAGCGCTCGTCTATATGTGAAGACTGTGCATGAGCCGCGAGAGAACAGAGGCAACACTGTTCCAACACATTCCAGCGCCAGATTGCCTCTTATTTAACACGAACTAACTAGATGAATACTCTACTAGACAACTGGAGATGTTTCCTTTGCATTAGGTACATCCATGCCGTGAGATGTTTAAAAAAAAGTGTTGGGGACAGAATCGACCCTGGCAAAAAGTGGTGGTGACAGGTCCCACCCGTCCCACCCACAAATTAAGCCTATGTGCATCAGTCAGTCAATGAACAGACTGTGTGAGAACTTTCAACTATTATATCTTCACCTAATTAACACAGGTAGCTATCAGTTGATGCTGTATCAATTACCCTGGGACAATATTGGAACAAATTTCTAAAACCGGTTCCAAGACTTAGGCAAGCTAGTGTGTTCTTAATGAGCTCTGAGCTACAGCAAACAGGCCTCTCTTTTTGTAGTAATGGGAGGATGCCTGTATCCAGTGTCACACTCCTAAAACTGCACTCCTGTGTTAGGGTAAGTTCCCATGACTTATGGTTACTTATTCCCATGGCCCATGATTAACAGCACAGTGTCTATCCAGCCTCATTATACTTGTTTTAATAGTGTGGGGTTGAGTTGGTAGGATTTAATAAACCAAAAGCCAAGAAACTGTAATGGCACAGTGTCTCTAGACTCATTGCCTGTGGTATGATTTGATGCTGAAAGCCGAAACCAAAGCATACTGGCTTCACACAAAAGTAACATCAACATCAGTGCCGTTATTGATTAGCTGCAGGGTTTGACATTAACTTTTTTGCTTGACCCCCTGTGGCTAGTGGTTTTCCAAAGTTTCTAGCCACTCAGCATTTTCACTGGCCACAATTTTGACATCAATTCCATAGGTGTAAACTGCCATATAGATATTTTTATATTTCGCAGCAGGTATTTTAGGCTGCTTTCAAGACTCACAGATCCATTATACTGTTATACATGCGTTTTCTGTCTCAACTATTTACATTCACTTAAAACACAACTGACTGGCATTTTGACATTGTTTTGTGTCTATTTGACCATGTATGTGCAATAAGCAGCAAAAATAACTCAATTTAGTCCTGAGAGGCAGCTTTATGTGCGTGCAATCCCATGCCAAAATTCAAGCAACAACCCTGTAACACCAACAATATTCATCTGGAGCAAATGAAAGCAGTGAGTGAGGGGAGGAGGGTTTGTGTGTCACTCGCTGTCGGAGAGATGAGAGAGAGGGAAAGCGCAGCTGGTATTTTGTATTTATTCTGCTGAAAATTAATTTTGGAAGCATTTCAGATATTTCAGTATTGATATGTAATGAAAAATCTATATTTTTTGACAGCACTACATTGCACTTTATGATTTCAGATGCCTCTTTAAAAGACTACATTTTAAAAATGTATATATTCTATAAAAAAAAAATCAATCCAAAGTGGCTACTATGAATGACGGGTGTTAATGTCAAGCCCTGATTAGCTGTGCGATTTATTTTTTTATTCACTGTCTTCAATTATTTATTGCTAAATTAAATATTTGTATTTATTTTTCATAAAAATAATGAGTGAACAATATACAATAATAACATTATTGGTGTAGATAGACTTTTATTAATTGTGGCCTCAGACGGTGTGTAAAGGGCCTTTGATACATTAAAACAAAACAAACACTGGTCATGTTACATGTCAGACAGACAATCTCTTCCTGTTTAAGTGGGAGGTTCTTGTCTGCAATATTGACCAGTCTAGTTGAATGTCTAGCTTTGTGAGATGAGTGTTTTTCATCTGCAAACTGATAATGTTCATAGAGCTGTGACTAATGGCCCTGGCATGTTCTTTTTCCTTCATCTGTTTTGTCAAAAGAGCAAAGCATTCAATCCAATTGTTTCCCCTATGAGATCGTATTACAAAGTATAATGGCAATTGAAGATTGGAGGAAAAAACTCCCTTTATGCCCCACTCACATCTGAGAGCAATTACAGCCCCAGAGATCCATTACTCATGCTGTTTCTGCCACCATAGATCACAGATGATTCTTGTGAAAGGACGTTTATTAACTGGTGGTTGCGATGCTCTTCCTCACCAACCATTTTTTTAATTTGCGGACAGATCCAACAGTGGGAACAGAATCTTGAGCGCTTCAACATGGACCTTTTCCGCATGCGCTGCTACCTGGCCAGTCTGCAGGGCAGCGAGTTACCCAATCCCAAGAGCCTCCTGGCCACGGCCAGCCGCCCAACCAAAGCTGCACTGGCCCGACTGGGAATCTTCTCCGTCTCCTCCTTCCACGCACTGGTTAGTATCCTTGAACACTACAGCTACCGCCCACTTTTTAAGTGGTTCCGGACATTTTTTTTCGAATTAATTTTCTCCATGAAGATCTAAAAAAAATCACAAGTTGAATCACAACTTTGTCTTCCAATGACATTGCTTTAAAACAAAGTTTGCAAAGGTACATAAGTTATAAACTACTAAGCATTTCACTACTCATCCCATGAAGCATTGTAAATTACGCGATTGAAGCAAAACAACAGTACAATATAACATTTTTAGTGCTGGGCAACGATTAATCGCGATTAATCGCATCCAAAATAAAAGTTTGTGTTTACATAATATATGTGTGTGTACTGTGTATAATTATTTTGTATATATAAATCCACACATATGCATGTATATATAAATATTTGCATGTATATACTGTATATTTATACTAGGGCTGTCAGTTAAACGCGTTATTAACGGCGTTAACGCAAACCCATTTTAACGCGATTAATTTTTTTATTGCGAGATTAACAGTCTTTTTGGCCTAGCAAACTTTGTCGTTTTTTTCACATGCTTTTGCAACAGGGCGCGGCGCTGCGCTATGAAACCGTATGAAACCCATTCATTTCAATGGCTTGCGCCGTGCGAGGACGTTTTGTTGCTTCGTCGACCAAAGCGCAAGTGGATCCAGCTAGACCGGAAACAAAACAACAGGCACGCGCACACCCTTGTTTGGGCTTGCGAGCCGGCCAAATAGTTGGTTAACGTTACGTTTTGAGTGGATGACGAGCGCGAGACGCCGAAATGGATGCCAATAAGATTCTGAATGGAAAGTTTAACTTTTAAAAAGTTGCCAAATGGTTCCATTGACTAGACCAAAGTGATCTGTGTGTTTTGTCGTTATGAACTGAGCTATCATCATCACAGCACGTCCAGTCTGAATGTGATGATGGCCAAGCACCATAGCCAAGCACACACACAGCTGATGCGAATGCTCCGCCTCCTCGTCAATATCAGGACCTCGTCAGTATTTCTTTCACCCTTTTATTGATGGACAGTGTTACATTGTGTTACAAAGAAATTATTTGCTCCAAGTGAGAATGTTAGTGTGAAATTGAACACAGTATTGCCAATGTTGTTTTCAATAAAAAAAATGTGCACAAAGCAAGGAATCCACTTTTTTCATGTTGATAAGAGCATTAAAATGAGAAAAAATAATGAACAAAAAGAAATCAAGAGACTTGATTTCAAAATGTGCGATTAATCGCGAGTTAACTATGACATTGATGCGATTAATCGCGATTAAATATTTTAATCGTTTGACAGCACTAATTTATACATAATTGATATTATATATAAATATACATATAAATTCTTAAATGTATACATGTGTATTCATATATACAAAATAATTATACTCAGTACACACACAGTATAATATGCAAACACAAACTTTTATTTTGGATGCGATTAATTACGATTAATCGTTGCCCAGCACTAAAAAAATGTATATTGCACTGTTGTTTTGCTTCTATTGTGTAATTTGCCATGCTTCGTGGGAGTCTGTATTTGCTGCTGAGCTCTTTTGGCATGATTCTCATTTCCATGGCGACAGTGACTTCTCTGATCGATGGATCAGGACTGTGGGTAGTCTAGTTCTTCATGGGGAATTCAGCTATTATACACTTCTTTTTAAAAAAAATATTAAGTTGTGACTGGACATTATTGTTAAAAATTCCAAAATTAATGGTACTGTTGAGATAATAAACTGTTGTGCTCTACTGAAATTCTCTTCACCTGAAGCGGATGCCATATCCTCTGTTTAATTTGTAACATTTCCATTTCCAAAACTGAAATCCTTGCCTAGTGACCATTAACACCAATCTCTCTCTGTTGCTCTACAGATCTGTTCCAGAGACGAGGCCACAATGCGAAAGCGTTCTCTGTCTCTCTCCCATCGCGGTCGCAGTAAGAAAGGGGTCTTTTCATCCCTGAAGGGCCTGGATACTCTTACCAAGCGAGGTCATGAAAAGAAGCCTTCTGTCTCTCAGGTACTGCACTCACTCTGTCTGATTTAACCAGTCGTGACTGTGTGCCGTTACACAAATGCTCGGAAAATACATTTGCATATCAATTTTCCTACCTTTTATGTTTTGAAACTCATGAGTCATGCTGGAGGGAAATTCCTCCCACAGGTGCAAATAACAGGACTTTGATAAATAAAGACTCTCTGGAGGTAGTAATTACAGAGCTGACAGGATTAAAAATGTTGTTCTTTCTCCCATCCCCACCTCCTTTCTCAGAAATGCACCAAGATAATGAACGGGCTATTTTAGGATGTGTAACCATTTCTGTTTATCAAGTGTAAAGCCTTGCGACTTTGATGGAGCTGATGATAACCTTGGTGTCTTAATCGACTCAACTCTATCTCTCATATTTCTTCTCGTTAAAAACTTTTTTCCATCTTCGTAATATTGCACGTCTTCGATCTTCTCTCACTTTAGCTGATGCTGAAACCTTAATTCATGCACTTATCACATCACGTCTGGATTATTGCAATGCTCTATTTCTTAGTCTGCCCAAAAAAACTCATTGCAAGATTACAGTATGTTCAAAACTCAGCAGCAAGAGTTCTCTCCTCCACCAGTTCTGCTCACATTACTCCTCTGCTTCATGACCTTCACTGGCCGCCCGTGGCATCACATATTTACTTTAAGCTATTACTTCTAACGTTTAAGGCATTAAATGGTCTTGCACCTCCATATCTGTCTGATCTACTTTACTCTTACCGCCCTGCCCGGTCCCTTAGATCAGCTGAACTTGGTTTACCGTCCATCCCTCGTTTAGTGTTAATACTCCTAAATTATGGAATTCACTACTCATTACACCTCGTAATATCTCATCTTTGGCTACATTCAAAACATATCTATTTAACATGTATTTTGGATAATGTGACTATATGTGTCCTTATGTGATTGTCATGTGTGTGCGGGTGTGTAAATGTATTGTAATGTACAATGTAAAGCAACCTTGAGCTACGGAAAGGCACTATATAAATAAAACTTCTTCTTCTTCTTGATGATGTTTCCTCCCAGTTGAGATGTTTCTGCACTGTGCTAATAATGGTGGAAAATTGGCAGTAAAGGAACTGCACTGGGCCGTTTGTTTAAACCCAGAGAGGGGTGACCCATGAGCCGGAGAACTTTATAGATTTCCTGTCATGACCGTGCCCTTGAGCAAGGCATTTAATAGCAGGTTGTTGCAGGGGGACTGTCTCTACAATTAGAGCACTGTGTTGTTTGGAATAAAAAGTGGCAGCTAAATAAGTAACTAATGCTTGTTTTGTTGAGTCTGTTGCACTTCTTTGCCACCCAGTAAACTACCTTAGTCTGTATACAAGTGGAAAATCCCTAATTGTTTTCTTTTGGCTTTGTCCCTGTGAAAAGGATTTCAGTGATTTGAGCTGCTGTTCTTACAGTGGTCTTCCTCAGGTAAGGGATGCTGGTTTGCTGGATCACAGCTAGAATAGCATGGCTCCTTGTAGAAATATAGATGCTTCCAAAGCTTGACCCCTCTTTGACCTGCAAAAAATAGCTATATTCCAAAACCTAGTGAGCTACCGAGTAAGGGTGCTCCGATTGATCGGCGCCGGTCGTCGATAGCTTTATGTATTTTGATCAGTGGTCTCCATAAAGGCCAATCAGAAGAGCCAGATAACGCAAGCCTCGCTAGACATTTTCTCTATGCGCAGCTAAAATTGCTTCACAACATTCACTGGTCTGGCAGTTCTACCAGGTGTTTGAAAAGGACAATACATTTGCAACGTCTTTGGAGACATTACAACAACTGCAACCCTACACCAATGACAGCAAGAAACTAGAGCTGTGATATATTAGTGCATTTTTCCTTCACAGCGGTGCGCTTTCATTCCTCCCTGAAAGCCCAAACTTAAGGCCATTGCACACTGAGTCCGAAATTCGCATCCGAAATTTTCGCACGTTAAAAAATAAATACGACCTCACGTTATGTCAATCACGCTTGCACACTGCCTCCGAAACTTTCGTCCGTCATAAAAAAAATCGAATTGGGTTCGATTTTCTGCGTTTTTCGCATCCGTAGCAATCAGTTTGAATGGTGTTTGAATGATGTTTTGACAATTCAGAGCCACCGAATCTCGAATACGAAAAAACGCATACGAAAATTTCGGACTCAGTGTGCAATGGCCTTTAATGTCCAAATCAGCTAGACCAGTGATTGTCATGAAATACAGTCTACTGTTGCTAAACTGCAGGACCCCATAATAAAAAGAGTTATTTAAACTGCATTAAGCCGTGAAAGAGATGCTGTTCCTCGAGTGGCTTTGTGTGCGTGCGCTCCGAGACTGATTTGGAGACAGACAAGCAAAGTGAACAAAGGGTCAAATACACAGAAATATGTCAAAATGCCCGACTTGGTGAGTATTCGCTTAAACACAGTTGTTATGTTTAAATGAGCATAAACAGTTGTGAAATAAGTTGCATGTATATTGGATCCGTACATTAGCTCTTAAAGTGACAGCAGCCTAATATTCCTGATGCGGTCTGTGTCATTAATGTTAATCAAACAACACAAGACAAAGAGAAAACACTCATTGCTCTTTTGTAGATGTAGTGGGAATAATCTATATTGTATATTAGTGAAGACTATGCAGTGTTTTCACATTTGCTCACTTTCCGTTGATAAAGACTGTCCTGTTTTTTATTTATATTATTTATTTCACAGCAATGCTATATTTGTTAAACTCTTAAGCTGTTCCTAATCATCTAAGAGAGGGAATGGAATATGTTGCTCATGCTACTTGCCAATAAATAAAGAGTTGGCAATTCATGATACTTTCTCATTGTTTTTTTATTTATTTTATACATTGTTGTTAAGAATAGTGTTATTTATTATTGTGATCAGTATCGGTGATCGTATCGGCCAATACTGCTCAGTGATCCTAATCTGTGATTGGACCAAATAATTCTGACTGGAGCATCCTTGCTACCTAGCTAGAAAACATTTTAAGGTGTCATAGATGCGACTCCAAGAGCTTGTTCTTCCAAGAGCTTTTATTTTTTTAATTTTCACTTCATTTTAGCCAACTTCTAAAGCAAAAGCGTCTATTTGCTTCTCAGATAAAGCAATTCCAGAATTTATGGCAATGAGCTCAGTGGGAATTGTTTTTATCCGAAAACAAAAGTCAATACTAAAAAATATCCATTGAAAACAATCTAATAAAAATGCATTAGGTAAACCAAACTGGCTCTTGCATTGACTAGATCTCCAAATAATATGCTAAAATATTAGAATGGTACTATAAACCTTTATAAATGTCTAAATTGCTTTTTATAGAGTATGGAATGTCCATAAAGATAATAAATGGAAGGTTGTTTGGGATAATATTGCTGCAACCTCTTGAAACCAAAATCATCAAATTATTATATGCAGTATGATCTAATTCACAGATTGTATTGCATACCAAAACATTTTCAGACGCAAAGATCTTCCAATCCAAACTGCCAGATTTGTTAAATAAATGTTTTCTGACATTTAATATATTATTATCTGCTTATATACTGTACTTAAAGGTTGACACTGCAGTGACAATTAAAAAAAAAATATATACACTGAAGTAATCGACACATGTTGTTATATGTTCGAACTTACAGTAAAAAATGCCACTGAAAACCAATTCCAGGGTCAGATTTCTGCCCTTAATAAAGAAAAGTAAAATTCTTCATTTCTGTCACTAAATTAATCTAGTAACATCTTGGTACCATCCAGTAGCAAAAAAAAGAGAAAAGTATCCAATCACTGAGATGAAGTCCCTGTCCCTCCCTGACATGTGTCGTGTAATGGGAGATCCAGCCAGCTTGGCTAACAAGCCCCATTTTCATTTCACACCACAGAAGGCCGAGGTGTGGAGACAGACAGAGGGAGAAATGTATGAATTATTAAAAGCCATATGTGGTAAATTACAGCCTGCTATACTCTACCCCGCTGGGACACACAGATGGTTGCTATAAGAGCCCTATAATAGTTGCTAAATATTAAACAGGCCAACCTTTTGCTGAGGATGCTGCGGTAGCCATCAAGTCAAAGTGTCTTTTTTTGTCTCTTTCTTCTTTGTCTTTCACTTAGTTTTGAGAACATCAATCAATCTTTTAGCCCATGTTTGTTTTCACTAATTAGCTAATCATTATAGTTACTCGTCCTTTAATCCTGTTTAGCCTTGGGTTTGACAATTATATATTTATATGTATACTCTAAATAAACTTACTGACCAAACTTTTGACATTAGTTCAATTTATTTATTTATTTTTTGAAAAAGAAAGAAATGAATACCTTAATTTAGCAAGGATGGATTCAATGGATGAATCAAAAGTGACAATAAAGACACAATTTTACAAAAGATTTCCATTTCAAATAAAGGCTTTCCTTTGAATTCTTGAAAAATTAGCAGCACAACTGTTTTCAACATGGATGATAGTAAGAATTGTTTCCTGAGCAGCAAATCAGAATATTCACATGATTTCTGGAGGATCATGTGACACTGAAGACTGCAGGAATGATGCTGAAAATTCAGTTTTTCAAATTCAGAAAATTCAAAATTCAGAAAATTATGCTAATAAATTACATTTTTAAAAACGTATTAAAAGAATACAATTTACATTTCGGTAAATCTTTTATTTTTTGTAGCACAATATAACTATCCTTTTAATAAAATAAAAAGCCCTTAATGAGCATTAGAGATGTTTTTTTTAGTCAATTGAATTTTTTTCCAATTTGTCCCAAAGATTTGCACTCTTTATTACGCAATAAATTTATGAATTTCTTTCCTGACCAAAACAAAAATGATCTTTTGTTGTTGCCAATGCCTATTTTACAAAGGTAAAAATCGTTGAATATTTGTTGGTTGAATATTAAATAAACAAGAAACAATGTATACCCTGATTAACCTCATTATAATGGTCGGGTGATGGTGTTAAATGCCTACGATCATCTCTTGTCTTAGGCACAATAAGCTGTCTGGATGGGAGAGTTCAAAATACAAAAATACATCAAATAATGTACACTTATTGATGTGAGTTTTTACGATTAGTTTAATGATTATGAACAAATTAGGTTAACCATGGAAAAACAATAATAATTGCATTAATATAACATCAGTGAAACTACAAAGCTGACACAGATGTATAATTATAATGTAAAGTTACCATGACCCTTTTTTTTTTCTAAAGTAAACTACAAAAATAACAGTTGTTTCTACGACAGATGGTGTAAGAGTAGCGTATATAACAGTTGTTTCTGCGACAGCTCTCTTATGCACGGTGTAATATGTCAGTGTCGAAATTCCTCGCTTCGCTTCGTTCACTCCTTGCTGATATAGTGCGTTTGTAATGATCAATCATGTTGTTTAGTCTAGTTTTCCCAGTTTTCTGTTTGCCTGAATTCTGCTTGCTCGTTTCCATGGTTGCTAATTAAGCTACACACCTGTTCCATGTTACCTTGATATTATCCCTGTATATTTAAGCCAATAGTTCCTTCTGTTGTTTGTTCTGTGTGGTTTATGTTGTTGCGGATGTGTTTCTACGTTGTTTACTTCTGTGTGTTATTTTTAATCACTTTTCATTTGTGTTGAATTCTCCGTCGTCGTGCCCTTACTACAGCCACAGATTCTGAGAGCATTCAACTTCCATGCACAATATAGGGATTAGAAAAAGAGTGAAATCTTGAGCTATTTCGGAAACAGCAACAGAGTCAACAACGAGGCTCAATTCCTGTGCTAGAGTCAGTCCCAACTGCTATTCAGAATCGAGGAATCGACTTCCTATCATTACATTTTTGTGTAGTGTATATCGTGCGTAATTTAAATTTTCCTTGGTATTTTAAGATTATGGTCCCATGTGAGGTGTTAGATTATCCTCTCTTCTCTTCATACATTAATTTGCTCCAACATTTTTACATTGGCATCACTCTTGATGTGAAAGAGCCTCAAAAGTGTCTCATTTCACATGCAAAGAGGTCATTTACAGGTCTTCAAGGCAAATCAGCGAAAAACACCCTGTCTGTTTCTAAGGCTTAAAGAGAGGAAAAATATCCGGAAAAACTAACATTATAAATGGGCCTGAGGGAAAATATACAAAATGTATATGACCACATGCTAGGGAGGGACGCTTTTATCCAAAGCGACTTAAATGAGGAACATCACAAGCAATCTATTATAAACGCTTACAATATTTGAGTCCACAATAGTATATGTTAGATTAATGGAGGTTGGCGGACTGTTCCAATGCAAAGAAACAATGAGGGTGAATATTTTTAAAAGCCTGTAAAACAATGACCTGAAATGTAAGAGATTGCATGACTGTGTCCTACTAACCATTATAATGCCTTTACTTCCAGTGAAGCCTCAAAGCTTTTGTTTAAGATCAAAATAGATTTACTACAGGAAATTTGCTTGCGGAGGTTTTTTTTTTTTAGCAACGAAATGATAGTTTGTCTGCTGCAGTGTTTGTAACCATGGCTCTGTTCTGTCTGACTAAATGTGACTAAGAGTTTAATGACTATGCAGTGATACGTTTTTTTTTTCCTTCTTGTTTTAGGTCTTTGACAGTGATGTTGGAGGACATCTAAACACCATTCCTCCTTGTAGTTTTAAGGTACGTTACTGTGTCCTTTAAGTCCTGCCAACTAGAAAAGGCTCTGTTTTACTGGGTTAAATGTTAAAAATACAGTTATACTTTACACATTATAGTTACATTAGTAATGTCTTTTTGTTCACCGTACAGTATATGTCACAAAAAAATTCTTTATTGTAGCTGATAGATGGTAAAATTTTGATTGGTATTTTGTTGTGCTCCTTGTTTCATTATGAGGAACTGTGAACTTTTGTGTCTCATGAGGAGAAAAAATGTACACATTTTGTACACATCAGTTGATTTATATAGTTTCCGGTCTCGTTTCAAACAAACACGTTCTATGGAATGAGAAACGTGTATAATTTGTGATTTCTTGTCCATGGTTCCTCACTGTACACCACTTCAGTAATCCACGGTGACCAACACACCCATGTTGCTGAGAGACCTAAGAGTTATTCTCAACAGCAAGTGTATTTTCTTCATCGTTCCATCTTTAGTATGTTCCGAGTGGAGGTTAGCCTCCATAAATGATTTTTCCCACTTTGCAGAGGAAAGTCTGAAGGCTCTGGTGCTGAGAGCCACACACACACACACACACTGAGGACTGTATACTGGGCGGTTGCCCTTGGCTGCTCTTTTGGAAAGTTGACCGGTACTGTGTTAAATGAATGCACACTCATTCTGCTGCTGGTCAGGGCTTCATTCACACCACTCACTGGACAAACAGAGGGTTATACAGCTGCTCTTAGGTAACTCTCTTTCCCTTGCTAAAAAAGGCCATTACTTCATTGAGTGGGATGTGTGGACAGTCTGTACCTGTGGAACTGAGACAAGACATGTTTTCTCTGGTGTGTGAATGTTTGTTTCCGACACCAAAGACTTAATCCCCAATGAAAGAACCATGGTGTATTTTGTTTTTTAGTGACACATCCTTAAACAAGCATAGATTGATGCCACTGAACACCATGCTATGAGTCATGGAACAAGTCAGTGTCATATGCTTTAGTTTTAGATTCATTTATAAGTGCTTATACTTGCCTATAAATCCTTTCTAAAAATCTATAAATGTATCTAAATCAGATCATTTTTGTTTTAGGATTTATAAGGAAATCCTATCAAATCTCTCTTAAACACACAAATAATTAATAAGGAGGCATGATAAAATGTGTTATTATTAGGTAACGAACTAACTAACCAGGGAATAAAGTAATATTCAAAAAGTCTTTATATTTCACCTGATGAAAATTTCTCATCCTCTTTGTTTTCTTTCACAGCGGTTGGGTAGTTTGGCTAATGTTTACTCAGTCATGCCACCTGAAGGCAGCCAGTGGGATTGCAGCCAGGAAAACACAACATGCGTCTATATGCCAGATTACCAGACGGTTACGGTTCTTCTGAAAAGTCATCACACTGTCATGGATGTCTTGGCTGAGACCTGCAGGGTAAGATCACTGCATTCAACATAGTGTTCAGATTAATTACCTTCATTTACCAACACACTCATTTTGATTTGTTTGAGTCAGCGTATACATGCAGACACACTATTGTATCACTCCTTTACCTGAGGCTAGTGACATTATAAAAGACAGCATCTGGGGAAATTCATTAAAAGATGAGATTATGCTCTCTGGATGACAGCTGTCTTAGTCTGATATCTGTGACAGCAGGCTGACATTGCTTCAGCAACTGGCTTTTCCCACACACATGAATTTCCCACAGTAACTATCTACACTACCTTACACTACCGTTCAAAAGTGTCAGTAAGATTTTTTTTAACCTTTTCTTTGAAAGAAGTCTCTTATGAACTCCCCAAGACTTATTTGATCAAATATGCAGTAAAAACAGTAATATTGTTAAATATTGTTTCAGTTTAAAAGGACCCACTTTATATTGTCTTTAACTACTATGTACTAACATTTAAATTAATAATTTGATACAGTGCACTTTTTGTGTTTTTACATTGTACTTATATTTTAAAAAAAACCTACATATAATTACATCCGTTATTAATTTCTGTAATTACATTTTATCCCAACCTTACCCGTTTTGCAATACAACATCAACACAATAAGTTCATTGTACTTAACATTTTTTTTGATGCAAGTAAATAATAGTTAAAGACACCTAATATAAAGTGTGGCCTTTAAAAATAACTTTTCTATTTGAATATATATTTAAAATATAATTTATTCCTGTGATCAAAGCTGAATTTTCAGCATCATTACTCCAGTCTTCAGTGTCACACGGTCCTTCAGAAATCATTCTAATATGCTGATTTGGTGCTCAAGAAAAATGTCTTATTACATTTCTTATGAATATTGAAAACAGTTGTGCTACTTAATATTTTGGTGGAATCCATGATACATTTTTGTCTTTTTTGTAACTTTACTGTGCTTTTGATCAAATTAATGCATCCTTGCAAAATAAAAGTATTACCGGTATTATTATTTTAAATCTTACAGACCCCAATCTTTTGAACAGTAGTGTAGTTTACCGTTCACTGATATGCCAGTGACTGACCATTGTCTAGTTTCTGCTAAAGAAGAAAAGTCCTGAAAATTTCTTGAATGGCAAATCTCATACTGTAGCTACATTGATGTAGCTGGAAAGGACCACATATATTGTTTTGTCAAATAATTTTACATATACAAATAATTCACCCAAAATAAATATTGTCACCATTTACTAAACCTTATCTCGTTCCACTCCAAAATGACCTCACGTGGAACAAAAAAGTAGACGTTTTGAAGAATGTTCACACTTCTGCTCTTTTTCTTACAACAAAAACATACAGTGACCTTAATTTCAGCACCATATTCCAACTATCCAGAAGTCAAATGATTTACTTATTGACTTAATATGTTGCTTGCTATTCTTCACTTTTACATATTTGGCAGATGCCAAAAACTTACATTGCATTCAAGGTACACATCTTATCAGTTCTTGCTTTCCATGGGAATCGAACCGATGGCCTTGGTGTTGCTAGTGCCATGCTCACACAACTTGGTGGACTAAGTCTTGATGCTATACATTTTATTTGTTGTATGTGGAAAGGGCTGAATCTTAAGATATATTTCCGTCTCGTAGGTCATAGGCCTGGACCCCAGCATGCACTGTTTACGGCTGAGAAGGTGTGTGGGAGACATAATGGAGGTATCAACACCATCAGCTGTTGAGCTTCTGCAGAACTTGGTAAGATATTGATAATGGCAAAGCTTAATGTTGAATGGATAATGGCTCGGTTTATAAAAGTTGAAGTTGCTGAACTGCATGATTTGTGCACTAACCTAGACGTCTTTGTCACCCTAGTCATATGATGAACTGGAGGTCTGCCAACTGAGCGTCTACACTCTGCACATGTCTAGACCCAGTCTAACTGGTGACTTTGGTAAGTAAGTCATTGCAAAGGGGAAGTTCAAGTGGCTGTTTTTAAGCTCATCGGGGACTGATGGCACTTTATGATGCATGCCGTTTCTCACAGTGTTTTTTTTTTCTTTTCCTCAAGGCTTTGCTGTTACAGGCTATGTAGACAACCTCAAAAACAGCCGTATCGTTGTCAGTGAAGTTCTCCCTGATGGGCTTGCTTTCAGCGAAGGTACTTTTGCTTCTGTAGATACAGCTTTTATTTCTGAGGTTATGTAGGTTATGCTGTTTGGATATGTTATAAACATCTTTTAGATATTTGAACAAAGACCAAAAGATAGTAGTGAAGACACCAGTTTTATAACTGGGTATTATAACTTTTGTTTCCTTCATTCCTGTTGTTTTATATCATTGATAGGTCTGAGGCCTGGTGATGAGATCGTGGTTCTGAATGGTTGTGAGGTGTCTTCTCTGGACCTGGCTCTGATACAGACTTTATTCAGCGATCAGAGTCTGCAACTGACCGTGAAACGTCATCCGCCCTCCATTCGGCACAATTCAGACACTGCAAACACACAGTCTCTGCGTAGGGATCACCTCCAAAACCACCAAAGAGCCAAGTCCTCAACAGGTACAGAAGACATATATGTACTACATATGTTCCAGAAAAATTTTCTAAATTTTTGTGTCAGCACATTCAATTCAATGAATTCAATGGTCAATAACAAAACTTTGAAAGTCAAGTCACATTTATTTATATAGCGCTTTTTACAATACAGATAGTTTCAAAGCAGCTTTACAGAGATAACAGGAAAATAATGCAACAAAGTTTGTTTCCAGAAGAAAATAGCGTCACAGCCCAGCTTAACCCTCTGGGGACCAAGGGTTTTTTGAGGCCCTTGGGATGTTTTGACATGCACTGACATTTGTGCTTTTTTCAGTTATTTATAAACATGTTAATGGCAACGGTGTAAATTCACTCTATATAGCACAAACGGGGCTACCATAATATTTGAGCAACATGTATGTACATGTTTGTATTTTTGAGAGAATATTATTTATGCATGGTTATTGAAAAACTTAAAAATAAAAGTTTCTGAAATAAGGCCACAAAACACATATTGATTATTTATTCACAAGACTTTTGAAAATTGTATCACATAGCCTAGAATATTTGCTCCAAAGCTATGTGAGAATCATCCTGACTACTCATTCAGATAAGTCAATAAAGTCTTTTATAATGTGTATGACGTGTTTAGTGTGAGAAAGCTTTATGCGAGGAGGCGTGATCTCTCATTAATATGTATGGCATTTCACACCTGAGAAAGACAAAGACCCTCCCATAATGGCCCAATTAGGTGCTATCAGGCCCTTATGAGGAGCCTTGCACAAAGAATGAGGAGATTTAAAAAAGAATGGCTTTTAGATTGTTTGGATTTATTTACAACACAACATAATCCAAAGATACACAACAAAGGACTGGTTTCTGGTTAAAATTGCTTTTTAATTATATATACACTACCGTTCAAAAGTTTGGGGTCGGTACGATTTTAAATACTTTTAAAAGAATTCTCTTCTGCTAACCATGGCTGCGCTTATTTGATTAAAAATACAACACAAATCGGTTATAGTATTAAATATTATTCCAGTGTAAATCAGCTGTTTTCTGTGTGAATATATAGTAAAGTGTAATTTATTCCTGTGATCAAAGCTGAATTTTCAGCATCACCAGTGTCAGTGTCTTCAGTGTCAAATGATCCTTCACAAATCAGTATAATATGAGGATTTGATGCTCAAGAAACATTTATTATTATTATCAATGTTGAAACAGTTGGTCTGTCAGTTGTACAGTTTTTTTGTTTGTTTTTTGTAGGATTCTTTGATGAATAGGAAGTTCAAAAGACTTTTGTAACATTGTAAATGTCTTTACTGTCACTTTCGATCAAATTAATTATTCCTTGATAAATAAAAGTATTGATTTCTTTCCTCCAAAAAATAAAAATAAAATTCTCACTGACCCCAAACTTTTGAACGGTAGTGTATATACACACACACACTGCTTAGAATAAGTGAAAACACCCATGCTAAAGTTGACTAAGAAGAGGAATAAAAAATCTTAATGCCTTAATTTAAAAAATGAGGAAAACTCTAACCTTTAGGGAAATGAATAATGTCACTGAATTCTTTGTGAATGAATAATGTATCGCAAATAATTAAATGTTCTTCTTTAAAATACAGGGTGCATACTCTGGACACTTCTATCACACACCCTTCACCATATAGACATGGTTTTATTTCAGTTCAAAGTTAGAGTTGGAAACATCTTGAAAAGAAAATAGTCTTTTTCCATAAATGTCTTAGTTTGATCATACATATTTCAAAGTTGAGGATTCATTATTTTGATATAGCTTGCATTGGAACAAACATCTTAGTTGATTAGTTTATTGACAAAACATAAGCTTATTTGATGTCTTTATTTTGAAGCTTATTTGATGCTTATTTGACTTGAAAAACTTTATCCAAAACTAGTCAAAGAAATGTTCTTTTATTTCGTCTGTAACAGTGCGTATCTGTGCGTTCATTCATTCATTCACACACACACACACAGAGAGAGAAACATAATTCACATTTAAACAGTAGGATATGCTATTTGTCCGTTTACAGACACTAACGTTATTCTATATCGCGATTAGAACAAAGCACAAAACACTTACACTTCTCAGCTGAATCTGTTGCTCCTCCTCGAAGTGAAAATAAACCAGCCCTTCTGTGGTAAATGTCCCAGGATTATTCCTCATAGCCGCGCAAGATCTTAATCTGACTAAAAAATATTGTGTGTTTACAGCATTTGCCTGGGGGCGTTTATCTATTTTGCAAATGGCCTCAACACATTATCTTATGAATAGCGCGGTCTGCGAGTGGGTGTGAACAAATTAACGATAATGAGCTGAGACAGGAGAAACTGTACTTCTCTTTAGTTTTTGACAGATTACATTGCAGGAGAATATTTGTTTTAAATGTGAATTGTTTTATTTAAAAGTAGAAATTTAAAGCGTTCTTTAGACGTATGTTTCATGTTTGTGTGATAAGTATTAGCGGAGTTTCCGTTCATTTTCCAGACATGTTTCAGAAAGATTTTTGCGGAGACAGAGTGAGCTGAAAGCGCACCCTGTTTATTTTATTTATTTAAAAAAAAACACAAGGTTTTGATGTTAATGTGAGTGTACACAAAAAAAGAAGACCCTCTATAGTTTATAATCATGTATTGATTTTATTTATATGACCATAAATGACGGAGTATTTTAAGTCTATGTTGCTGCTATGTGAAAAAAAAAACAGCAAAACGCGCGGGCGCGTTCTTGGTCCCCAGAGGGTTAAGTAAGTTCAGGGATGTTTAGTTTTTGTTGTAAAAAAGTTATTAATTTAGTTCATTTATATATATAGCCGCTCTGGAGAAAACCGTGATGTCATCGTCCAGCTCAGTTCAGTTCTCAAATAATGGTGTCATGCAGGCAGATCAATATTACTGTTGAATATGAAATTTAATGTTGAATTTAATGTCCCCAACTAAGCAAGCCAAAAGCCAATGGCAACAAAGGTGAAAAAAGGCGACAAAAGCGAAAAAGGTGACAGTGGCAAGGAACCAAAACTCCATCAGTGGCAGAATGGAGAAAAAACCTTGGGAGAAACCAGGCTCAGTCGGGGGGCCCGTTCTTCTCTGGCCAACGAGCGAACTGTGTTTGATTATGATTCAGGCAGCATTACAGGTCAGAAGTAAAAAAGGGTAGACAGAGTGGAAAGCATGAAGTAAAGTATACTTGGGCCTTAAAGTAACTACATGGACTTAACATAGGTTTAGGTCATAGTTATTACCAAGTTATTACCATAGTACTGTAAGTACCTAGTATGTACATGCAGAACAGGAATGTAGAATTAAGTGCTGCCATCACTAAACCCTCTTATTCACCTCTACACAAATCTGTCTTAAAGAGACAACTTTACACGATTCAGTCAATTCTCAAAGGTTAAAGTCGAGTCCCAACCTACATTTATTTTCCCTTTTATTTTTCCCTCTAGTTTTGATCAGACATACATCACATTTAAGAAATTTCATATTGTTATGAAACCATTTTGAACCAAATTAAAATCAGATTGTATTTGTAACAAATCAGAATTAGTGGTGCAAATAACAGTGTCTTTGACATAAAGGTGTATCGAACAATTTGAGCATATCTGAGGTAAATCATTAATAAAAATAGAGAAAAGCAATGATCCAAGAGTAGAACCTTGTGGAACACCTTTTTCAACAATTACATAATCTGACTGAAAACCCTGGAAAACAACACATTGACGTCTGTTAAGAAGATAAGCACTGAACCAAAGGAAGAGCATTTCTAGTTAAACCAATAGAATACAATTTATCAAGAAGAAGATAATGATTGACCATATCAAAAGCCTTAGAAATGATCAATAAAAAATGGCACCTGTGGCTTGGCCTTTGTCAAAGGATGAAAACACATAATTTGTCAATTTGAAAAGAGCAGTCGTAGTAGAAAAATTAGACTGTAACGGAGATAGAATATTTAATGAATTAATAAACAATGATAATTGATTAAAAATAAGTTTCAAAAAAAATGTTTTGCAATAGAACAAATAATAGAAATTGGACGATAATTATTCCCATCAGATGAGTCTCCACCTTTGAACAAATGAGTAACTCTTGCGCATTCCCATATAAAAAGAACAGAACAGGTAGACGGTCACAAACTGCTCCGAGACACGAAGGTTGATGATCCAAATGCAGTATTTATTTGAGTAATCTAGAATCGTAATCAAACACAGGTCAAGCACAGGAAGGCAGTCCAAACAAACTAACGAACAAACAAACAAACAAACAAACAATCAAACAAACAGGCAGGGGTCAGAGGCAAAAAGGGAATCCAAGAAAAATGCAAAAATCCAAGAACCAAGAGATAACATACACGACTTCGCAGGGAGTGAATGTGAAAACCAGGCTTATATGGGATGAGTTAAACAAGGTAATGACATACAGGTGAATGTGATGGTGGCTGATTAGTCTGGGCAAAGGATTATGGGAAATGTAGTTTGTGGATGTGTGATGATTGTCCGGGTTGGAGTGCCCTCTGATGGTTATCCAGTTAATCAATGAGCCTACCAGAGTTGATTATCGTTCTTCATCTTTGTTGGATTGAATACTTGTTACTAATCCTGAAAGGATAATTAAATCTGGTGTAATGTCAGATTGTAATGTCAGATCTGGTGTAATGTCACTCTCACTAGTGATCGTTACATAGACAATGACCAATTAAATAGATCTGCAAGAGGATACATTAAAACATGAGCAGCAGATTTAACAAATTTAGCTTCCAAACCATCAGGACCAGCACTACTATTTGTTTATAGATAAATAATAATTAATTACATTTATATAGCGCTTTTCTCTGCACTCAAAGCGCTTTACATAGAAGGGGGGATCTCCTCAACCACCACCAATGGTGACCATATCAAAATCACCATATCATAGATCATATCATAGATCATATCATAGATCACACATAACATAGTAGACATCGACAGGCATAATCTTCTTAAAGGAAAATGAAGTAATAG